TCACTCTGAGCACCACAACTCCATCAATAACCACGGTAAAAACTCCCCAAGGGAAGACACGAAAGAAAGGGAACCACCAGTCCTAAGAAGGACAACACTACGACTCCACCTCTGAAATGAAAGACAACAAGGTCAAAGACTTCGCCCCCTACATGGGAGTAAGTCGACCAAAATTCACCAAATCCTCACCAAGGACTCAAGACAAAAACAGCGATCCTCACGGACCAACCAACCCTAAAACCGTGCAGAAGGCGACGAAGAGAAGAGACTCACTCCTTGTGAAGTCCCTAATACAAACCAAGAAAAGGAGGAGAAAACCTATTCTCCCACAAGTGTCAACACGACAAACACGAAAATGGAGCATTCTTCCCACCTTAGGGAAATTCACAGCTCAAGACAAAACAAATGTGATAACTCCTCTACAAGGAATCTCACAACGAAACGATACACACTATGTGCGACTGAAGAAAACAGAAAGGAAAACCAAACATGGAAGTCATGCATATGACAAGGAATACAACTACCAAATAAGTAAATCTACTCACATAGATAAAGTCAAGAGTACATGCAACACGTCTCCACGTAACACAAAAGCATGTCATTAAAGCAAAGTAACAACATGGCATCTCTAAACCTATATGTAAGGCATGCTAATGTCACACAATAAGAAGATAAATGTGGATAGACCTCCACCTACTCATGCATCACAATAACATAAATCATACTACTAACATGGTAGTAAACGAAACTGCAAAAGATAAAATGATGCAACAATGAACCATATGGACATCATGTCTTAGAGTGTCTAGGTAAAAGGAAAACAAGTCCTAGCCACAATTTGACTCCAAAAACCAATGTAACAACAATTTGTCTCAAAACAAACGTGAGCCCTCACCACAATGGTAAGAATCTAACAATCCATCTCTAAATCTAAAGGTGACACTGTAAGTGACACTAACAATGCAATGCTCTCACCAACCCAAAACATTGATCAATCGACTCGACCACAAAAGCGTCATCATGCAAGGAGAACTCAAAGAAAATGGCAACTATAGCCATACTATCAATAACCAAATCTATCTTAAGAATCGTCCCTAAAACGACCATCAATCACTGACCAAAAGGACTACACCTATCGGAATAAAAACCAACGCCGATTCCATCTAAACTGCACTCGTAGCTAGCCAGTACAGTAGCATGATAGTGCCATGCCCCTGCCCACAAACGTACCCGCCCACGAAAATTGCAATCTCAGAGGAATCTTCCAAAACAACCAAGGATCCTAAGAGGTTTATAACCTCATCATAGCCCAAAACCAACAAATCCAGCCCTACAGCTACGCTCAATGATTCAACTCACGAGAGTCTAAAAAAAAAAAGTGTCTCTCCACCTACCTTAAAACCGATGCTAGATCAACAACGACCTAAACTACAATGAAACTATGACTACAATCACCATCAATCTTAACTCGTGCCTCAATGACTAATCCCATGCCATGCCAAATATGCAAAACAGTTATGCATATACAAATCTAACCTAGCATACATCATATGTCATCCTCTTTACAATGGAATACAATCATACTAAACAAACGGCACACCACATGTAGCACGTAAGTATATAAATATGTTATCAAACCAAAACATGTTATTATGAAGCATATAAATAAATAGAGCATGGCAACACAAGCATGATATGCACCCAAAACCTATCGTCTAAGGTATTCAAACCTAGGAGCTCTGATACCACCTGTGACGACCCTAGTTTTTAGGCCAGCGTGTCCTGTGATGAATTGAAGATTGACCCGATAACGGATCCGATATGCGGAAGCCAAAACAGAAAACAAGACTCTAAGAAGTCAAAGTGACCTTCCATGAGATTGTGGAACTTAATGACAACTGATGCAGAAGCAAAAGATCGAAAATATGACAATTAAGCCCCCAGGGGCAAAATAGTCATTTTGCATAGAAATGACGTCCCTAGAATGTAAATCGTTCTCGAGACACATCCATGACTTCCCGTGAAGTCACGAAACTCAAAAGAAAGTAGAGGAAGTGAATTACAAGAAAACCGGACAAAAATAGCCCCAAGGGCAAAATGGTTATTTCTGAAAAAAGTATAGATTCGGGTATTACCGAGCACACCGCTGGAAAGATAATGAAAAACTAATCGAGATGGACTCAAGACAAAGGAGAAACAAAAAAAACAAAGAAAAACGAGTAATAAAGCTAAAGGAGTAAACCAGAAATATCCAGGTGTAACCGAGCACACCATTGGATAGAAAATGAAAAATTAATCAATTTAAAAAAAAAAAAAAATTCACTTGATTTGGAGTCCGGATGAGGGAGAAAGGTCAAAAATAAAATCGACATCGCGGCGGCCCGACGAAGGCCGTGACAGCTACAGTGTCGTCCACCCACTACTGCTACAACTGAGAGTAAAAACAGGTATCTAAACGGACTTTTTTGGAAAAACTCAAAGAAGAAACCCCCCCTAAAATTAAGTTTTCTATCTGACACGTGAACGAAAACCAAAAAAATATACTGTGAAATGCCCAAAATGCCCCCAAGAAAATCAGGTCAAGAGGGTAAAATTCAGTCCTAACTACTGCCCAAGAAAAGGAAATTGGGCTTCGGGAGGTTTTTAAATTGCCTAAATTGAAAATGCAATCTTAAACTACACCTACAAGACCCTTGGTAGTTTCGGATCGGTCATCACGCTTTTAAAAAAAAAGTCAACGAATATTACCAAGTACATTTGCACCAAAGTCTACGAAAAAACCTGGCAGCAAGGGTTTTGCGGAAAAAAATGGGTTTTTGATGACCAAGATGGCATTTTCTGGAAAAACACAAAGAAGAAACCCCTCTCAAAATTGAGTTTTCTACGACTCGCGAGGAAAAATGAAAAAAAATGAAATGTGAAATACCCGATATGCCCCTAGAACAGAATAGGGTAAAACTTCCTAAAAATGCTACTTAGAGTTTTTGTTTCACCAAGGATGGTGTTGTTTGCCAAAGTGAGCATGCAAGCATATGTAATGTGATAAAATAGTTGTGTTACAATGGCCTACGGTTTCATGGCATGTCATATGCAAAATAGAACCCTTCAATGCATTAAATCACATATCTTCCATAGGCAATAATGAAGTTTAAAATTAGCATACATTTCACATAAGTGTCTCTGGCCCTTGGCCTCATTACAAACGCATTCTAAGAGTAACAAAAGGCACACTTAAGTGCAAATTACATAGCTTAGACAATAAATACAAGTTCTTATACAATACACCAAAAAGGATCATGATATGCTAACAAGTGCATATTCTAACATAGCAAAAAATACTCCATGTAGTCTAGCAAGTCTAAGATTGTTGTGCATCCCACATTATGGCTTCTTTACCTGAAAAACACCCAGTAACTTAGGGGTGAGTAAACAAGTTTACTCGTAGGGAATGCATGGGTTTATCTTTGTACCAAGTTTACAATTCAATACAATCTAATTCATGCTATCAAAGTGACATTAGAACTTTCAGCATAGCACAATGAGATGTAAATTCACAAAGTTAACAACTCGGAATTTAAAGGCGAAATCAAGCTAAAGTGGATACTTGGATATTGCCTGGATTAAAACCGTACTCTTGAGATCACTTTAGGGCTATTAACCCATGGGTACCTTCCCCTATTCTTGGAATCACTTTAGGGATTATCAACCTAAGGGTACCTTCCCCTATTCTTGGGATCACTTTAGGGATTATCAACCCAAGGGTACCTTCCCCTATTCTTGATTGATATCCCAAGTTTCCAAAATCAACAAGTAGAGCAACAAGTCATGATATGTGATAAAACATAATGAGTTCCATGGATTACATGACTAAATCATTAGTTTAACATAGTAAAAATTAAGTAGACCAACTAGGTAATTTCTCTAGATTTCAAGAATTGTCCAAGTGATTCCAATTTAATATATGACATGGAGTAATCCATGGTCATGCTTTATATCAAGTCATAAATGAATTACAAGCATGGTATAATTAATTTGAATTTAAATCAACATAAATCAATTAATCCTCTAGTTTTAAAAGCTCATTTAAATCATGCCAATTTAATACACAACAAAGATCAAGTCATAGTCATGCCATTTATTTATTTAAACAATTAAATTAAAATAATTAAACCATTAAATTTAAGTAAATTAATTCAATAATAACAATTAGAGTAAAAATAATTAAATAATTAAATTATCAAATGCAATTAAATCAATTCAATTAACACATATGCACGTCAACAATTAAAAAAAAATACAATTTAACCTATAATTAAATACTAGTACTATCCTTTTGAAAGTAGGGGTATTACATTAAAGGAGTAAAAAGATTACTAGTTGCTGTCGTGTCTCGAGACCTTTCTAAGACGCCAAATTTAGCTGCTTATGTGACTGATGCTATGTCTGTGCTAGTAGATCATCATGACTTAAGTCAAGAATAGATAAACCATCTTTAATCTGTCCAAAGTCGATTACTGACTCTTGTTTCTGATTTTCAGCTTTCCTCGCATAAGGTTGGCGAGCTATCGTCCACGATCAATAAAAAGCTGCAAGAGCAAAAATCTTTGACTAAACAAGTGAAGGAAAATGTTTCCCATTTTTGTACCTTACAATCGGCTCATGTTAAGGTAACCCAGAGAACTGCAGAAATTGAACGGGAGATGGAATGTCTCAAGCTGGAATTGACTGAGACTGCCCGATCAAGAGAGGAACTCACTACTCAGATGAAGGAGATTTATGAAAAGAATGTGGAAATTAATCAGCAGAGAGTATCAGTCTCAAAAGAAATTCCTCGACTAAGGCCAAAAAGGATGAAAAAGTGGCCATGTCTAAGAAGGAGTGGGATGAGCTCGGAGTCATTTTTTTTATTTGCAAAGAAAATGATATGTAATGACTCTTGTGAACTTTTGTACTCAATGGAACAATGAATGAAATGCATGTCTCTATGGTTTTTTGATTATTTAACCATCTTTGGCTTCATTCTCCATCTTCTCCCATATTATAGGATAATAGGTTTTTAAGTACCGGCCATTAATTGGCCGGGGGTGTATCTCCCCGTCGAGATCTTGCAAATGATATGCACCTCCTTTTAAGAATTTGTAAACCATAAATGGACCCTCCCAATTTGGCGACCATTTTCCATATTTTTTATCATTCACACCTATTGGGAGGACTGTCTTCCATACCAAGTCGCCTTCGCTAAAGGTTTTGGCCCTAACGCGCTTGTTATATGCCCTTGCTACTCGCCTCTTTTGAACTTGTATATGGCCAAGAGCCTTTAACCTCACTTTATCTAGGTCTTCCAATTCAATTAACATAGATTCATTGTATTCTGCAGGAGTCAAATTGTTTTGCAATATGAATCTCATTAACCGCACAGTCACTTCCATGGGCAAAACTGCGTCATGACCATAGGTGAGCATGAATGGAGTTACACCTGTGCTTGACCGTTAAGAAGTTCTGTATGCCCAAAGTGCTTTTAATAACAGTTTATGCCACACCCTAGGGTTATCTTCCACCATTTTTTCAATGATAGCTTTTAATGTCTTATTAGACGACTTGGCTTGACCATTTCCTTTTGCAAAATGCGGGGTTAAGTTTAGGAGCTTGATCTCGTACTCTGCTGCAAATGCCTGCACTTCTTTAGCAATAAGGACTGAACCTCGATCAGTTGTGATTGATTCTAGGATCCCAAATCTATGAATAATTTGTTGCTTGATAAATCGAATCACATCTTCCTGGTGCACCGATCTCATAGGCACCGCCTCGACCTATTCGGTAAAGTAGTTAGTTGCCACAATGATAAAACAATGTTGTTTAGAAAAAGGTGGATAAACTTTCCCTATCAAATCCATAGCCCAACCCCTAAAAGGCTATGGTTTTATGATTGGCTGTAACTCAATCGCTAGGGTTCTATGGATTGGCCCATGCCTTTGACATGCTTGACATCCTTTAACATATGTGATGCAATCTTTAAGCATCCCGGGCTAGTAATAAGCGTACCTTCTAATCAGCCACTTTATTTTTATTCCAGCCTGGTGGGCACCACATATCCCTTGATGGGCTTCTCCCATTACTTTCATGGCTTCTTTTTTACTGACACACCTTAAGAATAAGTCATCTTTGATGCTTTTCTTGAATAGGTCTCCATCAATCATCACAAACTTAAGAGCTTTGATCTTTAGCTTCCTGTCAGCCTTAGGGTTTGGATTTTTAAGAAAATCCATGATTGGTGTTCTCCAATCATCCTCCTCTATATCCTCTTCCACCTCGATTGCAAAGACCTCTGCCAACAATTCTTTCCTCACCTTGACTGAGGGTAATGATCTTTTCTTTATTTTAGTCAAATTCTCCATTATTCCTTCTAGCACCCTGACGCCAGATGCTATTTAAGCCAAATCATTACCCTCTTTGTTATGCATTCTATAAACACGCTTGACCTTTATATCTGCAAATTCTTGTAGTAATTGCATCGCTATAGAGTGAAATGGTTTGAGGTGCCAACTTTGGCATCTAAAATTACTAGACAATTGACCGATCACTAGACTTGAATCACCTATGCTCTCAACGGTCTGTGCTCCCATTTCTAAGAGTATTTCAAGACTGATAATCAGAGATTCATATTCTGCTTGATTGTTAGAACATTTGAAGTCTAGAAAGAAAGAATATGTTGTTTTCCTTCCATTTAGTGCAATTATTACAACTTCGGCCCCTTGAACATCATTTGCGCTTGATCCGTCAAAGATTAAAGTCCAAGGAGTTAGTTGAATAACACACAACTCTATTGCATCATGGACTCCCGGATCAACATCTAAGCATAGATGGTCGGCTAGGAAATCAGCAAGTGCTTGGCCCATTACAGCCCTTTGAGGCACATATTGGAAACTGAATTCCATGAGGGCCAAGGACCACTTGCCTATTCGTCCAGAAATTATTGGACGAGAGAGCATATACTTAATTAGGTCAGTGGCATAAATCACATAAACTAAAATAGGTGGCATATATATTCTCAATTTATGAGTAGCAAAATACAAACCAAGACACATTTTTTCAATTGGCGTATATCGACGCTCAACCGGTGTCAAAATACAACTAAGGTAATACACTGCCTGTTCTTTTCTTATTTTATTATCTTGAGCTAACAAACTTCTGATTGACTTATCCCCAGCTGAAATATATAACTTCAGCGGCTGTTTCTTCCTAGGCGGTATAAGGACAGGAGGGTTAGTAAGATATTCCTTGATTGATTCAAACACATGTTGGTGATACTTTTCCCATTGAAAGTCTTCCTCTGATTTGAGCATTAAAAGCGGAGAAAAAGTATGGATCTTCCCAGCACGGTTTGAAATAAACCTTCCCAAGTATGTGATTTGACCAATCAATCTTTGTAACTCCTTCTTGTTGCAAGGTGGTTGAGCTTTGATGATCGCCCTAGCTTTATTCTTGTTGACCTCAATACCTCTCCGATGCACCAAAAATCCCAGAAAATTCCCCGCTGTCGCTCCAAAAGTGCATTTAAGTGGGTTCATTTTCAAACCATGAGCTTTCATTCTCTTAAATGATCTCCTCAAGTCTGTCAGATGCTTTGCCTTTGTCGCTGATTTCACCACCACGTTATCAATGTACACTTCTATAAATTTCCCTATCATGTCATGGAAGATTGCATTCATAGCTCGTTGATAAGTGGCTTCGGCATTTTACAAACCAAAAAGCATTACCACCCATTTGAAAGTGCCTATGGCTCCCGGACATCTAAATGCCGTCTTGTTAACATCATCTTCTGCTCTGAATATCTGGTTATAACCTGAGTGATCATCTATGAATGACAGAATCTCTTTCTTGGCGGCCATATCAATCAATTGATCGGCCATGGGCATCGGATACTCATCTTTTAGGGTAACTGAATTTAAATTCCTAAAATCTATGCATACCCTTATCTTCCCATTCTTCTTAACCACAGAACAGTATTAGATAGCCATAGCCAATCGCAATACCTCATGGTTTGGATGAATCCCTCCTTGAGTAACCTCTCAATCTCTTCCTTTACTTTCATGGTCACTTCTGTTGACATACTTCTAGGCGCTTGCTTGAAAGGTCTAAAACCTTCTTTTATAGGTAATCGATGCTCGACTAGTTGCCTTGGTAATCCCGGCATCTCAGTGTAATTCCAAGCAAAACAATCTTTATATTCTTTGAGCAACAAGATCAGCTTAGCTTTAAAGTCAGGTTCTAAAAGGTCACTTATGTAGGTTAGCCGAGGTTCTTCTTCCGATCCCAAATTGACCTCCAACAAGGGATCTTTAAAATCTGCCTTCAGGTTTTTTAGCTTGGCTGGAGCTACATCTAACTCTTCTAATTGAATAACATCTTGATAATCTCCTAACTCATCTTTTTCTATGATTTTGGCCATATTGGCCGACATATCACTCTACAACATTGCCCGTCTTTCGGCAAGATATGCTCTCAGCCGTGCCATGCTAACTTTAAATGCTAGCATCTTATCATTTTCCTTTTGGGTTTGATCCATCGACAACCTATTGTTCGTCGATCTCAACTATTAGCCTTGGCTCGTGGATGACACTTAGCCTCGATAGTTCCTTGAATAACTCAGATAAATCTCCATCTGTTAGATTCTTCCGCATTGTCGCCTTCTCAGGCTTGCCATACTTGTCACACCCAATGAGCCTCAGATGACCCATTTCCTCTTCATATAAAACAACATCAACCACATGGACCCAAGCTTCAAAAGGTTTATTGTCTCTCCATATGACTTGGATCTCATCTCCTTCCCAGAAAATCATCAATTGGTGGAGGGTAGAAGGAATGCAAAAATGTGGGTGTAACCAGTCATGCCCAATTAAAACGCTATATGCCGTCCCCGCGTCGACCACGAAGAATGCAGTCATAGTCTTACATTTTCCCACTCTCATCTCTAGGGTGACCACACCTTTGGTTCTAGCTCTACCTCCAGTGAAATTACTGACTGTCAAGTCAGTAGGAATCAAGTCATCTTCCATTTTTTGCAACAACCTCATGGTGTTCATCAGAAGGATATTGACCGCAGAACCATTATCTATCAGTGCTCGTGACACCGGCATCCCTTCTAGGAAAACCTTGATGTAGAGTGGTTTCAAATGTTGAGACATTGCCGTAGAAGGCTTCTAAAAAATTACCCTGGCTGCTTGATCCCTCCCAATAGCCACCGACTCATCACCATGTGGTTTAGCTCTTATCACAACGACTTTCTGTTTCTTATCTTAGGTGATCGATTTAGATGGGTTTTCGATAATTTCTGGAACTTCTTGGCCTTCATCCTCGATCATCTTAACGTCCCCTTCTGTGGTGGAGGGTTGATCAGGCTTAGCCTCAAAAATATGAGGTAAAGTAAGAACCATATTACAATTTACAATTCCTTCAAAAGAACCAAACTTGATACCTTTCGAACCATCATCTTGGTCATCTAGGTCGAGTTCGTCATCACTAAATTTTGCTTCATCATCAGCTTCTTTCATGGATGAAGACGAACATTTCTCTTCCGTGCCTCCATTCCCATCTGCATTATCTTTCTGAGATTTTCCTTTCGGATCATTTTTTGAGTCATCCTAGCAGGTTCTCTCCTGAGCAAAGTTACCTTCTCTGGCTGTGGAACTGAATATTTCTATTTTATTCTTCTTAACTCAGGTTTCATCCGCTACTGACATCTCATTTGAGTGCGAGACATGAATGCTGGCGGGACATCCCTGACCATAGAAAACTTTGGATGACTCAATCTTGACCATTGACCTTCGTTAGTGGCTGGTGGTCTGGCCATCCTTTGCCTATAGTTTAGATGGTTAACTGATGTCTCAGCCTATTAAGTCACATTTGAGTTATGCTCCATAGTCTTCCAAACAGCATGAGTTGGGTTCCTTGCACGACTGTTGGAGTTTACTTCTCACCTTCGTTTGTGATGCTCATTAGTATTAGACCTCCTGTCAGACCATGTTAATCGGCTAGTCACAGGCACCCTAGACGAGGGTGACCTAGGTTTGTTTTCATGACGTGAACTTTTAGGACATCCCCGAGTGTTGCCATGGAACCTCTTTCGGTCCCTTCCAACATCTGTCTTGCACTTAGGGCATAATCCTTGCTTGATCAGTGCCAGTTGAGCTTCCCTTAACTCTTTTTACAAGTCATCTTTAGGCCTTGGAGTTTTCTCAACCATTGGCTTCTTTCCTTCAGCCTTGCTTTCTCTGTTAGCCGAAGTATCCTCAAAATCAATTTATCTTTGTGGCCTACTGGCCATTGAGATCTCGACCATGTTACTGCTGACCAAGGCTGGGAATGGATCGCTGTCAACACCCATCACCTCTTTTTTCTTTTCTGGAAACTTCCATGCCCCCTTCTCGATCTGTGCCTGAATTTGCAAACCTTTCTTCATTGA